GCAAATGATGCCTGGGATTGGAATTTCCCAGGCTCCATTTGCATGAACTGGGTGCCGCCATTTTTAAATCCCTGCTCATTCGAACCCCCTGCCGCGCGGCTTCACGGCTACAGGGATTTAAAAATGGCGGCGCCCTGTTCATGCAAATGAAGCCCGGGAAATTCAAATCCCGGGCTTCATTTGCAAGTGCGGTATGCCTACATTACCCCGCTAGTTCGAACTAGCGGGGTAGTGTAGACATACCCTGTCTGAGACAGAGCAATGGGCCAGGAATATCCAGTCAGTGACTATGCTAATTAGCAAGGCTCCAGGGACAAGGCTGTCAGAGAGGCCAATACACACCTGAGGAATGTGTCTAAAAAAGCAAACCCAGCCAGTATCTTGACTGCTGACATTGGATGTACAACTGACACTGTTAAGATAGCAGTTTGTAACATCTCTGCTAAGAGCCTGCATGGAGAACTTGGTGATTCGATGCATGTAATGTATTCTCCTTAATGACCTTACTCTCGTGCTTCTCTTTCTTTTAGTAATAACCCTTTAGATTCTAAAGGATTGGCCCAGCGTGATCCTGTGGGTAAGATTCAGAATGCATATTGACCAGGGATTTGTGGCTGGTTCTTTGGGACTGGAGAGACCCGTTCAGGGTAGGTGAGATTGGGTTCTATAGCCCCTCACCTATGTGGTAGGCCAGGGGCTGACTGTGGTACAGAGAGAGCTGGGATGTCTGAGGGGTTTTGCTCATGAGGCTTCCTACTGGCCAGATTGGCAGCTGAAGTGCTCGGTGTGACTGGTTTGTGGCCTCTTTGGGAACAGTCTCCAGTCAAGGGCTGTAAGGACCCTGAGTTTGAGCAATTCACCATGAGCAGATGCCCTCAGCTGTGCCCAGAAGTGGACCGTTCCGTCACACTCTTCTGCCTCTGTCTCCTACCTCAGAGAGTTGTCCCAGCTCCCTTGTCCCAGCCAATCCCAGGCTCCTCATTTGATCATTTTCTGCCCCATCCCCACTGGCTCCTATTTTCCCTTCATATTCTTGTCCCAGTCTCTCTGTGCAAACAGCCCCATTATCCTCCTGCAGCCCAAGTTCCTCGTCCATCTCCTGCCACATTCTCCCTGCCTGCATGCCCCGTCTGCACCACCCAGTCCAACCTGCCTCTGCAGCTCTTGTTCCCATCTCCTGGCCCAGCCAATCCTAATCTACACTCCCTCCACTGAGCTCATAGTGTGACCTCTGTGTTTACTGCTTCATTGGCTTCCTGTCCACCCTGACTCTCCATTTCCCCTCTAGCCCACTCACTGACTCCCCGTCTCCAAGCCCTATGCCTCAATCTACTCCTTCTCCTGCTCACTAGTCTAGCTCCTGTCTCCCCTCTGTTTGGAACAGGCTGCTTCCTTCTCCTTCTCGCTGCCTTGGTTCCAGCTTTGGGAGCATTGAGAACACACAGGAGCAAGAATTGCAGGAGAAGTCCTGTTTGGTGTGGCCATTCCCAGGTTGGCCCAAGCTCAGATGCTCTGCCCGGATGTCTCATACACAGTTTGGTCACATGTAGGTGCAGTAAGTGGGAAGAGTGGGTGTGAACTGACATTTTTTTTAAAAGGGTCTTATCTTGGCTCCATGTGGGTGATTTTCATGGGACCCCTAAAAGACACATCCCTGATACCAGGCGTGAAACATCACCTGGAATTGAAAGGACATGCGAGAAGCTTCCCTTGATCTGAATGGACTGAAATGTCACTGCCAAATGAAATGCACAAATTGTCTGGTTATAAAATGTCCAAATCTTTTGACGTTTTGCGTATAAAAAGGACACGGCAAATCTTTATATGGGCAAAAGGCAAAACACCGCCTTTATTAAGCATACAATGGTAAAGCAGGTTTTTTCTTGTCATCAGTATTTTATTTTGATGACGAGGTCTATCTGCAGACACATTAGATACGGGTTTTGTTTCTATTAGAGCAGGGCTCCTCAACTTTAGAAGCTCCAGGGGCCACAATGATACTCACAGCACATGCCGAGGGCCTCAACTTAAGAGTGGTTGCATAGACATGCAAATATATATGCAAATATATGGAAATAGCTTCTTTCACACTGATGGGCATAAATACAAAGATTAAGGCAGGACTAAACACACAGGCCCCATATAATTCAGTTCTGCTGATGTTAATAAAATGCTGTAGTTCCCGATTTCTACCCATTCCTGTTTCAGCTCACATCACTCAGGGTATGTCTACACTGCCATCCTAGTTGGAACTCGAATGTAGGCATTCGAACTTGCAAATGAAGCCCGAGATTTAAATATCCTGGGCTTCATTTGCATATTCCCGGGTGGGCGCCATTTTTAAATGCCTGTAGTTCGAACTACCTGCCTGCGGCTAAATGCGGCACAGACTAGGTAGTTCGAATTAAAGCTCCTAATTCGAACTCCCGTTATTCCTCCTGCAAGCCACGGGCAGGTAGTTCAAACTATGGGCATTTAAAAATGGTGCCCGCCCAGGAATATGCAAATGAAGCCCGGAACATTTAAATCCCGGGCTTCATTTGCAAGTTCAAATGCCTACATTAGCCACCCTAGTTCAAACTAGGATGGCAGTGTAGACATACCCATAGTCTTTCTGGTCTGTGACCAGTGAGAGTGGGGTTTGGTCCCATGAGACCCACTGGTGTCATTACACCGGCACAGAGCCCTGGCGATCCGCTCTAGGGCAGGACTCTGCTCCGAGTCAGGATGGAGACGGATTAGCAAGTCCTGTCAGGACCTTTCCCAAAGTTCTTTGATTTCAGGATGGCGGGAAACCTCCATTTCCAGATCAGGGTCTCCAGCCTGGCCTGCTGGAGGCACTGTCTCCTTTAGGTCTGTGCTCTGAGTGTCTTTGCTTTTTCCGGAATCTCTCAGCTCTTCAAAAACCCACTAGAGCGCGACCTTGAGAGAGCCACAGAATCGCCGCTTCCCATAGCTCCCGACTAGAAAGTAGATAAATGGGTTGATGCTGCTGCTTGCACAGGCCAGCACGTGAAATATCGCTCTGTGCTCAAATACGTTACAGTAGCAGATGAAGAAGTGGAGGCTCTGAAGGAGAGTGAAGAGGAGGAAGAAGAGGACGGTGAGCAGGATGACGGCATAGAGCTTGCTGGGCGGGCGCCGCTGGGAGCTCTGTCGCACCTTGATGAACAGGGTCAGACTGGACAGAACCATGACGGGGGTGAATATCAGGACATTCAGAACACTGATGGGGAGGAGGGAGGTGATGCAGCTTTTCTGAAAGGGATCTAGACATAAAACAGCCACAGGACAGCAGAGCAGGCAGGAGAGAGCCCAGAGCAGGGCAGACACGATGGCAGACAAGTGCCTTGGCCGGCGACTTCGGTGCCAGATGGGGTAGAGCACAGACACACACCTCTTCGTGCTCATAGCCATCAGGAGGTACAGGCTGGTGCTGTATGTCAAATGACTTGTAAACAGTAATAACATTTCAAATATTGGAGTACACTCGCAAACTATATATTCTAGCAAATAAACTGTAAGATGGGCAACCGAGAAGAGGAGGAAGACAGTGGCAGTGATGGCCAGATTGAGGACGTAGATGGTGAAGGCGTTTCTCTTCATGCGGAAGCCCAGGAACCAGAGGACGATCCCGTTCCCCACCAGCCCCAACAGACAGATAATCAGAGTGATGTAGCTGATGATCACTGGAGGGGCATAATTCACGTGGAATGCATTGACTTTTGTGTCATTATATATATATCCGTAATCCCGGCCAGAGGCTGTTGGTGGCAGGGACTCTGTGCTCAGCTCAGCCATCATGGAACTGCTGATATGGGATGCCAGTGTCCCCCGCTGCACCTTTCTCGCACACGCCTATTGGCAGAGAGCAGAAGGGCGAATCAGCATTTCACACCCCAGTGCTGTGTTATCACTACTTGTTCCACCCCTCCTCTGCCTCTTGCGCTGGACCAGCTGATCCCAAATGGCTTGCGGAGGAGGGCGGGGAGAGGGAATCTGGGGACAGAGAGAAACATGGCGAAAGGCCCAGGGGTGAGGAGCAGCCTGGACTGACAGCAAATGGAAGAGAGAGAATTAGACCCAGAGGGAGAGCTGGACAGACAGACAAGGACAGAGAGACAGAAATGGGACAGGATGTTGGCTGGCCATGGATGGTCAGGAAACAGCATGCAGGGGAAGTGGAGAGAGGGGATAGCGGAAGAGGAAGAGAATAATCCTGTCTAATCAATGGTAGCAAAGAGTAGTGAATCCGTCCCTCACCGGAATTCCTCCTTGGGGCCCAAACTGCGTGTTTACAGGAGCCGGGCTGGGCTGGATCCACTTCAGAATCTCAATGTCTCATGGTCACTAACTGCAATTCTCTGGGGAGAATCTTCTTGGCCACGTTTTCCAAGCAATCGTTTGTTATCCAGATGTAGAATATGTCCCTGCCAGTCCCTGTGTAGCTTTTGCAGCCAGTGCTTGCAAGTGTTGGCAGAGAACCGTCTTGCCCACACTGTGGGCGAGACACAGAAACTACAGAATTTCGAGGTCTGAGATGCACAGTGTGGTTTTATAATATCCAGTAATGACAGGGTCTGTACATTGCTCCTCTTCCTCTAAAAGTGAAGGAAATGGCTGGCTTCTGATTAAATTAGACGTGATTGGTATAGTAGAAAGCTGTTATGGTAAAAAGAAATGCAGCACGGGGGAGGGTGAAACATTTCCCGTATCTGTTGATTTTTGTTGAGAGATTTTTGAGGAGGTTTAGGTTGGACATTGGGAAAAAATTCCTAACTGTCAGGGTGGTCAAACACTGGAATAAATTGCCCAGGGAGGTTGTGGAATCCCCATCTGTGGAGATATTTAAGAGCAGGTTAGATAAATGTCTATCAGGGATGGTCTAGACCATTGGTCCCCAGTGCGGCGCCTGGCCATGGGCGCGTGGCGTGGGCGCGAGGCACATGCACGGCCCCGCCCCTGAGCTCCCGGCAGACCCGAACGTTTGGGGACCACTGGTCTAGACAGTACTTGGTCCTGCCATTAGGGCAGGGGACTGGACTCGATGACCTCTCAAGGTCCCTTCCAGTATTCTATGATTCTATGAGTCTATCAGCTCCTTTTGTTCTTTTTTGTTTTAATGTCCATTCTCCTTGCACTTTTGGATTTTTTGTCAGAAAACTAAACACCCCTAATGGAAATATGTGAGTTATAAACTGCAATGTTTTTATTTTTCTTTAGTACTTCATAGGAATTTTAATTTGAGTTGTCTTATGCTGCCATTCTCTATGGGCCAGGCCATCCTACAGAACTAAATCTCCCACTACATCCAGGTGCCTAGCATGACCAACTACCACTTCTTTCCAAAGGGGGAAGACTGTGGTGCAACATGGGAGTTGTAGTCTAGTCAGAGACCCCAGTCTCCGGAGAAAAATGGGAATGGGAGACACTTGAACTCTCGACCCCACAAGCAAGGATGCTGAAATTTCAGAATTCAAATAATCTGGTTTTAATTTGTCACTCAGTAGTTAACATTTTCCTTGGAAAAAAGAGTCAGGAACAATTGTTTATCGAAATCATCGGGAAAAAAATCTTTCTTCTTTAATCAGCTGTCATGTAAGATTCTACTTTATTGTCTAAGAACTGGTGCCAATCAGAGACTCAGTCACAGGAAATTGTCTGGACAAGAGCAGTCAGCCCAGACATAGACAGGCTATCATCAATGAGGGGCAAGAAAGCTGGAGCAATGACAAAATTGAAGTCCAAACCGCAAACTATCAAATATAAACAACAGTTGTTCACTGAATTCCATGTCTCTGCAGTAAAATGCTGAAACTCAGTCTTGTGGTGGAATGGGTGATTAGAACTCACCCACTACTATTTCCAATTTGGGGACAATTTAATCTTAACGACAGAGATACAGCGATGGGCACCTACACGGTATCACAATATGCCAACATCTTTATGGCTGACCTGAAACTTTTCCTCAGCTCTCCTTCTGTAGAACCATTAATCAACTTACACTACATTGACGATATCTTCATCATATGGAGCCATGGGAAGGAGATCCTTGAAGAATTCCACAGGGATTTTAGCGACTTCCACCTCACCATGATCCTTAGCCCGGACCAGTCCACATGAGAGATCCACTTCTATCCTTAGCCCGGACCAGTCCACACGAGAGATCCACTGCCTTGACACCACAGTATAATTAAAAGATTGACACATTTCCATCTCTTCAACGTGAAAGACTGACACATTTCCATCTCTTCAACGTGAAATTTTAAGCACCAGTTCTTCAAGCTCATATTGCTAAATACAGGTGTGACAGACCGGTCTGGGCCTGAGCACCCCAGAGAGCGTCTGCTCAGGTTGAAGTGCTCACGGTCCGGGCCTGAACACCCATGAGAGCGTCTGCTCAGGTTGAAGTGCTCAAAACAAGGGCTCTTTACAGCGCCAGACTGGAGGGAGACCTTCTCAAACAGGTCCCAAACTGGTATACTGAGCAAAACCCTTCAGACACCCCAGCTCACCCCCGGAGACCTTGTCAAACAGGTCCCAAACTTGTACACTGAGCAAAACCCTTCAGACACCCCAGCTCACCCCAGCCCCAGGCCTACCATACAGGTGAGGGGTTATAGAACCCAATCTTACTAATTCCAAACAAGATTTTCCAGTCCCAAACAACGAGCCACAAATCCCCGGTCAATTTTTACTTTGGATCTTACCCACAGGATCATGCTGAGCCAATCCTTTAGAATCTAAAATCTAAAGGTTTATTACTAAAAGAAAGAAAAGCATGAGACTAAGGTTGTTAAGGAGAATACGTTACGTGCATCAAATCACCAAGTTCTCAACACAGGCTCTTAGCAGAAATGTTACAAACTGGTATCTTGAAAGTCTTTGGTGTACATCCTATGTCAGGATGGGCCCATGATTCTCTCCGGCTTTCTGTCCCTTGCAAGGCTGCATCTGGAATCAGTAGCAGAACTGAAGGTAAGATGGAGTCTGCCTCATGGCATTTTATATCCATCCCTGGTATCTTTCAAGCTTAGACACACCATGTCCCAGACCTGTATGAGCAGACAGGGTTTCCCGTGCAACTCTTCAGGGGACTGGAAAGTGAAGCAAATGCACACACGGGCTTTGCAAAAGGGTTTCAGATCAATCCCTCTTTGCTGTAGTGAGTGCACGACATACACAAATCTCAACACCGCAATAAACACCAAGCCCGTTCCCTTGTCTCGCTTTCCTTACTATGCTGGTGTATGCATTGGGTGAAGCTCAGATTCCCTTAGTGGGTCCCGGGTCCCCAGTGCTGCACATGGCTTCTCTCCTGAACCAGGCCACCTCGTTCTCTAATCTCTGCGCTCAGTGCTCTCCTCTCTCTGGCTACGTCTAGACTGCAGAGTTAAAACAGAAAAAGATTTGCAATTTGCAGTATTCAGACTGATGATCTTTTTCCAATTTCCTTTAAAAGAGGCTTTTTGGAGGTGTGGAACAGCAACACGATGCCAAATTTTGGAAAAACCTGCTTTGTTGACATAACCCACATGCCTCATAGAACGAGGTTTACAGGGATGGCGAAAAAGTGCGTCCGCTGTAGAAACATTTTGCTTGGAAAAGCACATGCCTGTTGCCAGAGAGCAGATGGGGAAATCAACAACTGAACCCCCACCCCAGCACAATGTTATCACTGCTCACTCCAGCCACTCCCCAAACTCCTCCCCTGGCCCAGCCAATCCCAATGGCTTTGGGGGATGCTCAGGACAGAGAGAGACATGGAGAAAGGCCCAGGGGTGGCAGAGACAGAAATAAATAAGGAGAGAGAGACAGAAATGGGACAGGATGTTGGCTGGCCATGGATGGTCAGGAAATAACAAAGGGGAAAAAGGGAAGAAGGAGAGACAGAGCATAGTGGGAGAGAAAAAGCATAATCCTGTCTAATCAATCAACAGTGGCAATGAGCAGTCCCTCACCTGCCTTCCTCCCTGCGGCCCAAACTGTGAGTTTACAGGAGCTGGGCTGGGCTGGGCTAGATCCACTTCAGAATCTCAATGTCTTATGGTCACTAACTGCATTTCTCTAGGGAGGATCTTCTTGGGCACGTTTTCCAAGCAATCGTCCATTACCCAGGTGCGGAGGATGTCCCTGCCAGTCCCTGTGCAGGTTGTGCACCCAGCGCCTGCCAAGTGCAGGCAGAGAACAAACTTGCTGTGACACGTTTTTTTCTCCATTTGCAGCATCATAAAAAAATGCCACTGGTCCAGCGAGCAAGATGGAGAGAGCCCAGAGCAGGGAGAGCTCAGTGTAGCGCCATCTGAAGTTGCTCCAACAAAAAATACAACTTTTACAACTGGAATAAACTGGAGTTGATGAAAATGGTGATGTTCACTTCAGACGGTGCTGCAGCACGTTAGGGAAAAACAAGAGTGTTGCCACACAACTCAAACAGCGCATCCCACAGTTAACAGCACAACACTGCATGGCCCATCGAGAAGACCTGGGTTTAGTTGATGTGTGGAACCAAGGGCCAAAGATGAAGACAGTAGAGACACTTTTGAAGACCCTTTATAAGGTCTTTTGCAGCTCCTCAGTCCGAAGAAGACAATTTGAGTCAAAGAAAACGAGACTGTATCATTTGAACCTCCAAATGAAGTAAAGTGGCTATTTAGACATTTTACTGTAAGTGCTTTAATGTGTAATAAGGAGACTCTTCTTACATATTTTGAATGGGAAATCTCATAAAATAATGGCCCAATAGCAATGTACAGCCTGAATAAACTCTCTTACACTAATTACCATTTCACGGTAGCTGT